AGAGATTCAATTATTTTCACAAATAATAAAACACATCGCTGAATTTCAATTATTTTTAATACAATTTTAATCGAATTTCTCAAAAAATGTCATTATTCTTAATTTTGTTTTTAAATTCTTTGAAAAATTCAATTATATAAAAGTTTGTTGATGAAATTCTTTATGGGAATTGAATTTTAAGAATCGTTCAATTATTCAATAAATTATTTATTTGCATTTTATTTGTATTTAAATAATTGAATTCTAGTAGAATTTTCTAATAAAAATTGATTTAAAAATGAATTTCAGTTAAAAAGATAATAATTGAATACTAAAAGCAATGTGGCTTGAATTTTTAGAAATAATTGAATTTTGAAATTATTTTTTTTGAAAAAGTTCAATTGAATTTTTTTGATATTATTTTAAATTTTTATTTGAAGAACAAAAGAATTGAAGAATTTACGAATAATTGAAATTTCGTAAAATTGAATATTGTAAACAAATGGATTTGAAAATTGTCAAAGAACTTTTTCGAAAATTATTAAAAATAATTGATTTAGAGAAGAATTTTAGTTAAACATTCTTGAAAATAATAATTGAATTGATAATGATTTTATCAAATTTGGTTATCTTTAATTACTATAAAAAATTTAATTTATAGTTTTAAGTAAAATGTTCTTTTATTTAAAAAGACTTGGACTTTTCGAATTTGGATACAATATTTAGACGTATTTTGTATTTTATGTCAATTTCTTTTTTGTTTTGCATGTTGCATATATGCATTGTTGTTTCATATTATTTTATAACTTGATAAGAAACATTTAATAATTATATTATTAGTAGATTATAAGAATTTTTTTTCCATACAGTTGCATTTAATTTAACGATTATTATTTGACATTATAAATAACTGAACTTTTTTTTGTTTACTTTGCATGTATTTTCGATCCATATTTATTCAGTTTGCACCATAATTACTTCTTCACTATAAAATTGCACTGCAATTAGAAATTTAAAAAACACCATTTTTTATTGCATTTAATAAGTTTGAAATTTTTATAAAGAAATACTTTTACTTTTTTGCTGCTATTTTTTTTATAAAACAATAATTTAAAAATTTTTTTTTTAAATTAAAACAATTTTTTTTGGAAATTATTTTTTTCTTATTTTATCACTCAAAAATAGTGTGAAATACAATTGTTCTTTTGTTTTAGACTATTTTTATTAACTTTTATAAGGTTGGAGAATTATGTGTTTTTTTTAATATGTCAAACTGGAAAAATTAAAATTATTATGCAACTAGTGGCAAAATTTTTATTTTTTAGAATTTATTGTGGTTTTAATTTTTTTTTTAATGTTAAACACTATATAAGTATAAATAATATAAAACTCGCACGAAAATTCTCTCTAAATTGTGTATGGAAAGTAGAGTAAACTTCGTGAGATTTTTTTATTAAAAAAATATTTTATGTTTGTAGATAAGCTATTGATTGAGCTATGATTTTATTTTTAAGAATACTATTATTATATATTATTTTATATAAATATATATAAAGATGCATCTATTATGCTATATATATATAGTCATGTGTGTATATTTAACAGCATTTCATACACAAGTTTACACGCACACGTTGTCGCGCAATAATTAAAAAAATGGTTTAATTTTATATTATTTCGTTTACTTTTAATTTCACCATTTTCCCTCCTTCGTTTCTCCTAAAAATGATACTTTTACATTTTTCTTATTTTTTGTAAATTTTATTCAAGCTTCTAATATTTTTGAAATTATTATTATTATTAATATTATTATTATTATTATTATTATTATTATTATTATTATTATTATTACCATTATTACTATTAATATTACTATTATTATTATTATTACTATTATTATTTTGTTTATTTTATTTCAAATTAACGAGATATTTTTTATTGTCAATTTCATTTGTCCTTTAAATTTATTTTTTTGCATTCTTTTCTTTTTAAAGGTTTGTAATTTTTGCTAATAAATCAAAATAATTATCAATTTTTTAGTATTGATATCGAGTGGATTTTTTTTACTGTATTTTTATCGCAATAGTTAACTGGTTCGTAAAGAAAGGAGAAGTCTAGTTGGTGCAATGAGTGTGAGTGAGAAAACCCGAAAGTTCTCTCTCACTCCTGTTGCCCCCACTCCAAAGTTTATCATCCCGCGTTTGCGTACTTAATTCTAATCTTACGTTCCAGTTAAGTTTGCGATATAAATAAAGTCAATATGTAGTGCATAGAAAAAACTTTTTATTTTCAGTAAAAAGAGAGCACAATGCTTTAAAATAATTTTATTATTATTTGTATTAAATCATTTTTGTATTATTAGATATTATTTGAAATTATTATTACATTATTTTTATGTATTTAGATACTATAATTGTATTACATTATTTTTTGTATATTAGATGTTATTTTTGGTTGGAGGACGAAAGTTCTAAAAAAAAGTTCCAATAATTCTTTGTTCCAAAAACCAAAAGGTTCGCCAAAAGGTACAATAATTTTTATTTTCAATTATATCAAAAGGTCCAATATTCTTTTTAAATTCAAACTTCATATTTAGAAACTTTTTCTTGGTGTATTCCGTCTTTTCTAAGAATTATGAGAAACAAAATGGCGGCGGGCGGATAAAACAGATGATCCACTTGAAATTTTATAATTCGTCTGAAATCCTAGTTAAACGGAATTAAAGGACGATATTTTTTTAAAACAATTTTTCCCAATGGCAAGAATATTTAATTTGGAACTTTTGTCCTACAATCGTTATTTGTATTTTATATTTTTGTATATTAGATATTATTCGTATTCGATTATTATCAGATTATTTTCCGTAATATTTGATATGACGGGTAGTTCACCATGGGTTTTTTTTCATTTGAAAAGAAAAATTGCAAAACTGATGTGAACTACTTCAAAACCAGTGCAATATTTTTATTTATAATACCAGGCTTCGCACTCATCTACTAAAACCTAGTATTTCCTACTTTCTTAAGATTTCAGCCACTGAAAGCTAGAAATCAAAAAACTATTCTCAAAAATGTATTTTCTAAAAATATTTGAAATTCAATAATTATTTTCAATATCTATACTATTCTCAAAAAATTTCGCAAATGAATTCAATTATTTAAAAAAAAAATTGATAAAATTCATCCGAAATTCAATTATTTTCATAAATAATAAATTTCTTCTCAGGAATTCAATTATTTTTGAAAATTTTAATAAAATTCTTAGCAACTATTCAATTATTTTCATAAAGAATTAAAATTCATCTCAGGATTTCAATTATTTTTAATACAATTTTACAGGAATTGTTTAAAAAATGTCATTATTCTTAAAAATTTAATTTCAATTCCTCGAAAAAATCAATTATTTAAAAAAATGTTTTTTTAAAATTCTTTGGATGAAATCAATTATTTACAAAAATATTCAAACTTTTTACGGGAATTCAATTATTTTTAAATATTTTAATAAAATTCTTCAAAAGAAATCAATTATTTCAAATTCAATTATAATTACATTTTTTTTAAATAATTCAATTATTCTTTTAGATTTTAATAAGATTCTTCGAAAAAATTCAATTATGTCGATAAACAATAAAATTATTCCTAAAAATTCAATTATTTCGAGACATTTTAATAAAATTCTTTGCAAAATTATTTTCAAAAAAATTTAATAAAATACCACACAAACATTCAATTATGGTTAAAAATTTTAATAGAATTCTTTGTAAAATTAAATTGTTTTCAAATATTTTAATAAACTTTTTCGAAAAAAGTCAATTTTTTTTAAATACAATTTTAATAAAGTTTTTTTTTTGAAGTAATTCAGTTACTTTTTTTAAATTTTAATAACATTCTTCCCGAGAATTCAATTATTTGCATAAATAATTTTTTGAAAGAATTCAATTATTAAAGATAAATAACAAAATTATTCTCGAAAATTCAATTATTTTGAGTCTTTTTAATAAAATGCTTTGCAAAATTCAATTATTTTCATAAATCACAAGAATTCAATTACATTTTAAAAGTAATAAATTTCTTCTTGGAAATTCAATTATTTAAAAAAAATTCTAATAACATCGTTCGCAAGAATTCAATTATTTTCATAAATAATAAATGCTTTTTAGGAATTCAATTATTTTCAAAAAGATTTAATAAAATACCAGACAGACATTCAATATTATTGTCAAAAATAATTTAAATGGAATTCTTTGTAAAATTTAATTATTTTTAAAACTTTTCGCAATTTAATGATTTTCAATATTTACTATTTTCATAAAATTTCCAACCAGGATTCAATTATTTAAAAAATTTGTTGTATAAATCTTCTTAAGAATTCAATTTTTTTTCGTTAATAATAAACATTTCTCGGGAATTCAATTATTTAAATTAGAATTTGTGTAAAATTAGTGAAAATAAATGAATTATTTAAAAATTTGGTAGGTACTCCAACCAAAAATGTTTATAAAATTTTTCGCAAGAGTTCTAATTATTTTTTTAAAAATATTTACATTCTTCCATGAATTATAAAATTCGTTGTAGAAATTAAATTTATCAGCAGAATAAGAAAGAAGTATTTACTATTTATTTATTTAAGTATTTTTTTACTATTTATATTTATATTTTTACTATTTATTTATTTTTTATTTTTTTATTAGGAAAAGTCAGGAAAATAAAAAATATGGAATGGAATTTTTGTCAGTTTTGAAAAGTGTCTAAAACTTTTTTTTTCGGTCATGAAGTTTAATTTTTTCGATAGATACTTTTTAACTACTTTTGTTTAGTTTGAGATCTACTTTTTGCAACTTTTTTAAAATTAATAGAGTGCGAAGTCTGAATAAATTTGCCGCATTTTTTATTTTAATGTTTTGAAATGATTCGTATTTATCTGTTTTTTCGTAAATATTTATATTAGACTATATTGCACCAAAGTAACAGAGAAAAGAGAAAAAAAAACAAAACTAACAATGTTTATGTTTGTTTCCGTAGATTTTGCCTCATCGCAAAGCAGCAACAGCAGTAAATCGGACATGAGTGAATCGTGGAAGGAGAAATCGCGAAATCTGAGTACTCCACCGTCATCGCAATCGTCGCCTGATTTAGCCAAGACCCCAACGACCTCGACACCGGCGTCAAACAATAATGCACCGTCCACATCGTCATCGACAAATACAACAACAACATCGTCGACGAGAACCTCATCGTCGCCAGCAACTGCCAGGGCAAACACTCCCAACAGTCCGGCACAAAATTCACCGAGCGCCGGAACAATGTCCGCGCCCCAGAGTCGTCAGGTCGCCAAGAGGCGAATGAGACGACGCGCCACATCCCAATCGCAGGATCCCGCCGAGCAACTCACGGAAATGTCTGTCCGCGGATTAAATCTCTTCCGCTATGCATCGATTTCAGAGGGCGTCTATCAATGCACCGAATGCGCCAAAGTCGATATTCAAAAGACCTTTAAAAATAAATACAGCTTCCAGAGACACGCGTTCCTTTATCATGAGGGTCATCAGCGTAAAGTATTTCCATGTCCAATTTGTGGCAAAGAATTCTCGCGACCCGATAAAATGAAGAATCACATGAAAACGGTGCACGATTATTTTTTGTCCAAAGATTGCGTAATGCCGTTCGGTTTATTTCTCCCGCCTTAGCAAGTGTCGCGCGAGGACGTGGCGAGAAGAGCAAATTCCAAGATTTCGCGGTGGAAACATTGGACAGAGAATTGCGAGATCAAAAAATAACTTTGTCACTGGATCTAAAGGATAAATGCTCCTAATTCATGTATTTGAATCTATTTCATGAATTCAGTATTTTATCTCATTTTTCTTCTCATCATTTTTTTTTTTTTTTGACTTTAGAGCGATTTTTTTCCTCCTCGATTTTTCTTCTCTACTCAATTTTTTTACTCGATTATTCTAATCTTTTCTTCAAAGGAGTCAAATTATCTAAATTAGTTCAAATAGTTCAAAATAATCTAATTTATTATAAAAAAATCAATTTCTTTTTTATTCACAAATCGGATTTTTTAATTCTATCAAATTAAAATGTCCTAACTTTAAAAAATAATTTTTTCACGATTCTTTTATTTGAAGAAAAATCGATTGTAATTAATTCTCTCTGAAGTCAAAATATTTACTTCTTAACACATTAATCTCTCATCATGCAATTCACTGATTTCATTTAGTTACCACTGCTTTTAAATAAATAGTTATGCACAATTTAATTATTTTTACAGAAAAAAAAATATATATATATTTACGATATAATTTAATAAATACGTGAATCATTTGCGTACTGACCTACGTCCCCGCGATATCATTATAAGAATGTCTAAAATGAAGAGCATTGTCAGAAATTTAAAAACACTGACTTCTTCTTAATCTATACAAAATTATCAAATTCAAAGTAAAAATTTAAAAACAAAAATTCGTGCAATTACAATTTATAGAGTACCAAAAAATTATGTCTGAAAAATTCTGTTGAAAACGCATTTTAATCATAGATTTTGGAGGGGAATAAATTTTTTATATCTGTGATTCAGGAAAGTGGTATAAATTCACTTTGTGCCTTAGAAAAATCGATGTTTCGTGAAAAAGAAAAGGAAAATTTGAAATACTATTTTCTAAAATAATTCAGAGTTTTCTAATTTTGATGAGAAATATTTTTTATTCAATCGTTATATAACTATTTAGAAATAATGGAATTTATTAATTACAAAGGAATGTGAACGACAAATTTAGAAAATGGAAAAAAAAATTTTGTTCTGTAAATTAGTACAAATTTTCGTTCATTTGCGTTTAAAACGTATTCTCGCATTTTTTTTTATTAACTTTTTTTGCATGATTTATTACTATTAAATAAATTTAAATTATGAAATTATTGAACAATTAATAAAGTACTATTAAATAAATTATTTCGATAATATTAAAATAAAAAAAAATTATATCTACTTTTTTTTTAAATAAGAGATATTTTGGTAAAGGAAAATTTTATTTCCAAACGATATTTTTTATTTATTACAATATTTCTTTACTGGGAAAGAAATTTTAAGGGTATGAAGAGAAAAATTAACAAATTGCATATTTGCAAAAAATTCTAGTGCGCTTACACATCGCCAATCGAAAATTTATTTTTAAAAAACGTTTAATTGTTCAAAAATTTTGAGAAATTTCTATCGAAAAAAAATGGATTTTTCTTCAAATTTGTATCAATCTTGATATTCTTTAGATATGCCTTTTTTACATTATCACTAATTCACTAATTTAATTTACTCAACACATTTTTGGTATAGGATTCTTTTTTTTTTAATTTCGTCACTTTGACTGTGGAATTAATTATTGAATAATTAATCAAAGAAACTATTATTAATTATATAAAAAGTTAAAATTTTTATTATCAAATATTGTAGAGAAATAATTTTATTTCAATGCAAATTTTCATCATCACAATTGGTGAAGTGATAGGTTTACTTTTAAGAATCAATCGAACTTAATGCAGTACAAAAATTAGTCTAATTTGTGATTTAAAAAAAAAAATTACAAAAAGGAAGCAGTTTTCAAGAAAAGAAAAATCTTTCAAAAAAAAATATAAAAAGAATATTAAAAAACATAAAAAAAAGTATAAAAAAATATAAAAAGAATATTAAAAATAAAAAAGAAATACGAAAAAAATATAAAAAGAATATTAAAAAACAAAAAAAAAATTAAAAAATATTTTTAAAATATTAAATTTTTTTTAAAAATATTTAAAAATTTTTAAAAAATACTAAAAAATATTTGAAAAAATATAAAAGAATGTTAAAATATATAAAAAAATATTGAAATAATTTAAAAAATGTACCTATTAAACAACGGAATTTAAAGAATCTGAATAAAAAAAAATACAAATAATGTTGAGAAAATTCGAAAATGTAAAGTTGGACTAATTTTGTTCTTCGATTTCTTCGATTTTTTCCTAATTGAAACAAAACGAATTAGATAAAAAAAATATATATTTCTCAAGGTCTTCCAATTTACTTGAAATTTTATTGATTTACTGTAGTAAAGTTCGATTAAGAAGAATATTTAGAATCTTTTTCTGGAAAAAAAAATTGTTTTTTTGTATTATAAAAAAAACACAAGATACGTAGGGATGGAATTAGTTAGTAAATAGTTGAAGAGAAAAAAAAGTATACACAACAGTAACTTTTCCGCTTAGCGGAAATTAGTTGTGTATAAGTCTCCGAAATGTGTATTATAGATATATTCATTACTAATTATTTTATTATATTATTATTATTATTATTATTATTATTATTATTATTATTATTATTATTATGAGTATTTACAGTCTTACGTGCATCATTACTGGAATATTATTATTATATTATTATTATTATATTATTATATTATTATGTTATTTTATTATTATTATAATTATAATTATAATTACTATTATTATAATTATTATTGCTTCTACTACTACTATTATTATTTCAACTACTAATCGGTTCCCATGAACGTTATATATTAAAAAAAAAAAATTCGTTTTGCTAACCAGAAATGATACGAATAGTAGTAAACATATTAATGAAAATATTAAATGCACAAACGCACGCACACGTTAGAGGGAAAAAAAATGATTTTTCGATTAAGATAGAGTTTATATTCTATTTCTTATAACCAGATGTTGGTTTTTCTTTTTTAGTAAGAGTACGATTAATATTTTTACATTCGTTTATACAAATCTTAGAGTTCTATTAGATGACACGTTATTATTGAGAGCCCATTTTTCGGTGTTGGGAAGCACATTAGCTAAAAAAAAAAGTTATATTTGTAATAGCAGATCGATATTTAGAAATAAGAATAGTATTTGTCGAACGATGTGTGTGATTGTGTTTAAAGAGATTGCATGTCGAACTTTGTCCATTGCGTTTTTCTTTCCTTTTTTTTTAATAAATAAATATAAATTGGTAAACAAATACAAAGCTAACAAATGATCTGATATTGACTTTCATGTGAGAAAAGAAAAAACAAAAATTTTATTGGACTTTCGATGGTAATCTAAAGCTTTTTACTTTCTTCTCAATCTTTCTTATATTTTGCGAGAGGATTTTTTGATAAATAAATATTGTCCTTTTATGTATTTTGCATCCGTTGCGTGCTTTCGTGCGCTAATTTAAAACCGAAAGCAGTATTGGTCTTCCGCATCGACTTACTTAAGCGAAATATATATTTATATTTATATGTATATCAATATTTATGTTAATATTATTATTACTATTAATATTATTGTAATTATTATTATAATTATAATTATTATTATAATTATTATTATTATTATTATTATTATTATTATTATTATTATTAACATTTATATCAATATACGTGTAAAATATACTTGTGAATGAGTGTTTATGGTCCGAATGTGTTTATAAGAGATATTTAATTGAAAATACAGATTTATATATTATATATATATATGTGAAAAAAATATTTGGCCGGAAAAAAATATGTGAAAAAGTGTATAAATGTGTTCTTAAAGATTCGCTCGTCTATTCGAGTATCTGTCATTCTTTATATTTTTCACTTCACTGATGCAGTTTATTCTCGAATCTATAAAAAAATTTTTTTACTTTATTGTAATTGTTCAAAAAAAAAAAATTTTTTTCAAAAATTGAGATTTTTCAAAAAAATTTTTTTTTTCAAATTTCTTAAATATTTGAAAAAATAAATTAAGTTCGCAAATAAGAAAAAAAAAACTATGGAAATTTTTCACCACCGAAAAGACTGCGTCAGTTGTGAGAAATTTGTTGAATTTCTTAATTTTATTGATGAAGAAAAAAAAAACACTGGAAATAGCGGGAATTTTTTTCTTTAATTTCCTTTTTTTATAACAATAATTTGATTAATTTACACGATATGTTAATTTTTACTGTTTAGTTACTAGGATTAACTATAAATATAGACATGCTATTTTGTAACAGATGTATAACTATTGACGTCGTCGAATAACGTTTATATTTTTACTTTTAACAAATATTAATTTTCTCATGCAAAAGGAGAACAGGCATAAGAATTGTGAAAGTAATTTCATATTTATGAAAGAATGTTGAATCAAAAGATGTTTTCTTTTCCTTTAAAATTTCGCTTTTTAGATAAAAAAAAAAAATTCCTGTATAATGTGTTACATTGTAATTATAATAAATATCGAATATAATTCGAACGGAAAATAAGATAAATTCTAATATTCCTAAAAGAAATGGTGAAAAAGGAAAAGAAAACGTTGGAAAGATTATTTTTTACGACAAAGACATATTATAATTATTATATTATTCATTAGTAATTAAAAATAAAAATTGTGAAATTGTCAAAGAACAGATGCAGATGGAAAACACGCTGATGAATAACGGATGCTTGTAAAAAAGAAAATGGAAAGTGAGAAAGATGATTGGAAAAAAGTAAAAAGTTTTAAGCAATTAGAGAGTTACAAGAGAAAATATATTATATATTATTATATATTATATATTAAAAATGTATATTATATATTATGTTATATTGTACATCTGCCCTTGTGGTGTAGATGAACCTTGAAAAAAGTCTTTAACAATTACTATTTACACGATGAAAAAAAAAATTAAAAAAAAAACATGCACGCGGGTGTAGCATATAAAGCTATACATATTGTTCGCACATTTAAAAAAAATACTATTTTGTCGTCGTCGTTATCGTCGGTCGGCTAATGTGTGTAAGTGTACCTATAAACTTGGTGCCTGGTGGGCAATACAGCTTACGAAGAAAAATTTATTATTATTATATTATTATTTTTATTTGTTTTTATCTAATTGTAGTTTCTTTGTAACTCTTTGTGATATACATTGCAATAGTCTGCGACCGAACGTTTCTTGTATTGACGACCACAAACTTCATTAAATAAAAAAAAGTATGTATATGTGTACGTGTATTTCGATACATGTATGTGTATATGTACGTGTATGTATAAATAGAATTTTTAATTTATATTAGACATGTTTGCACTTTTTCCCTATTTTTTATATTGATCCTTTCATCAGGGTTGCAACAAAAATTTAATTTTGTTTTTCCCTGATTTCCAGAAAAAATTTTTAACTTTTTCCCTGACTCTACTGCCAGATGATTAAGACGACAAATCTTCAAACTTTTATTATTTATCTTTAGAAATCTTTAAACTATAGTCAAAAAAATTTCTTCAGATTTTTATTACAATTTTGAAAGAAATAAATTATAATATTGTTGTGTTTGAATCTGTTCGCAGTTTGAAGTTAGTTTTTGTTTGCTTCTCAACTTTTTTTAATTTTCTTTTTCAATGTTTTGAATTTTAAAATTAATGCACTGAAAATTACTAAATTCTTGCAAAGTTTTTATCAAAAAATTTGAAAATAATTAAAGTAGTTTGAA